TGTTAAATTTATCTTCCTATTTAGTGGTTTATAGAGTCGCGCAAAGGAAGAAGGTTTATATATATATATATATATATATATATATATATATATATATATATATATATATATATATATATATATATATATATTGGACTTGGAATAAATTGAAGGAGCATTTAGATTTGTCTCAGAGATTAAAATTAATTTACACGTGTCTTATGTATTTATTATTATCAATATTAATCTTAATATTTTTAACAGATGATTTAGGCTCAACAAAATTAACGAGATGATGATATTATAGTTGGACAAATAAACTAGTGAGACGAGAACATTATAATTATTCAAGTAAATTAGTTAGACACCACGATATTATAATTATACAAGCTCTCCCTAGATTTAAAATCGAAGTGATTTCTTATTATTAGGATATGAAGTCATAGTACATGGAATGGCTGATGGGGAACGTGCTTGCACATCTAATTACATGGTTAAATAACACAACATAGCAGGGTTTTATTTATCACCTGATGAACATTAGGTGTAGAGAGGCTCGAGTGCATGCCCAACTTGGCAATTCTAGTGACATTAGGCCAACCCATTTGGATCCGATTCGTTCTGATTGGGTCGGGTTTAGGGCATCTCTTTCGTATCCCGTCTGATTCGATCCATTTCCGCCCATTAAACACCTCCCGATCTCGCGTTAGTTGAACTGTTGCGATATCCTCCCACTGCTCGATCTCCGGAGTCGAAACAGATCGCCGTTCAGGACAGAACCTCTCGTCCAAGTCTATCAAATTCCTCGCTCGTCTTGACGAGTCTATCAAAGTCGATCTTCGCCTCCTCCTGCAGGGGCGCTTCACCATCCAATCGCCAACCCTAACACCAGGCCCTTAAGCCATGGCCTCGCCCCCTCCGGCACCGGCAATGTCGTTCTCCGACTTCCCGGAGGACATCCAGCTCAACATCCTCTCCTTCCTCTCTCCCACCGAGATCTCCGCCTTTGCCTGCACCTCCCGCCGCTTTGCCGCCCTCTGCGGCGCCGCAGCCCACGAGAGCCCCCTCTGGGTCTTCATGTGCGAGCGCCGCTGGGGCTTCAGCACCCACCTCCGGTCCTGGTCCTCCTCCGCCGCTGCTGGCCGCCGCTCCCCCTTCGCGCGCCTTTACAAGGCCCTCGACCGCTGGGAAGACCTTATTGGGTTCTGGCGTCGTATCGGCCCCGGCGACCCGCTTCTTGTCTTCTTCGAGTGGGGCCCCTCCTACATTGTCGGGTCCCGAGTCTCCCCCTCGACCGAGGCAGCCAGAGACGGATACGGCATCCTCAAGGTGCCCTTTCTGTGGTTGGGTCTCTCCTCCCACGGCGAGCCCGGTAGCTTCCTCCATCCCGGCTGTCGCTTGGACTCGGTGGCGGATCTGCTGGGCGCGGTTTCGGACTCCTCGATCTCATCCTCGGGTTTCTCAGATCCCGACTTGGTGCCCGTGACCGTCAGTTTCATGGGTCGCAACCATTTCGTGCTGGAAGTGAATCGGGGCCATGACGCAAATGCTAGGGCAGAAAGTTCCAATTGGGTTCAGAAGGAGGTGCTTCGAATTGAGGGCACCTCCCCTCCGGACCGGTTGATGTCGGAGATCTATCAGCACTTTGCCAATCGGACGAGCCCCATTGATGGTAAGCCTACGAGAAGGCAGAGAAAGAAGGAAAAGGAGCGTTTCGAAAGGAGGCGACGATGGCATGCAGAGCATTTTGTGAAGATCTGTAACTGCTATCCCACACCAGAGCGGCCTTTGCAGGGCTTGTGGAAGGTGATTGCTTCTCTTTCCTTGTCGATTTATACTTAATTTCTTTTAATCCTTTTAGGGATATTAAGTGTATCGTAAGTTAATTTTTAGATTTCTTCTCCTTTGATCATTGCAAGTCCTTATAAACAATATTTCTTCTGATAGGGGATCTCTGAGGACAGGGTTCTTGAGTTTTATCTTGTTGCCTATGATGATATCGGTGGAATTACTTGTCGGAGGGTTGGCGAAGCAGGGGGTCAATTTTCGTGTTATTCTCCAGTTTTCTGGACTTCAAACACAGCATTTCTTGAATCACCATTTCCTAGAGAGGAACAGGATTTGTATGGGAGCCGCGAGCATATTCGCTCTGTGGCTTCCGATTGGAGAAGCACTGAGAGTGAAGTCGTCTCGCGCATTCTCCATGTCAACTCTGGCTGCTGCGACTTGGTAATTCGAAGCCTATCTGATTCCTCCAGCAGTGATCCAAGAAACGCGGATGGTAGGATATGGGAGTATGATGATGGAACCTTTGGGTTTGGATTTCTTCGAAATGATTATATCATTGATTTGAAGCATGTCACCTTAAATGGGTCTCTTCTTGATACTGTAGAGTTACCTTCTCTACGAACTCTAGCTACTGACAAGTCACGATCGTGTGATTCTGTTGATTTTTAATGAAATCAAATAATTCTGAGAACCGCTGAGTTTTTATTGATATGTTGTAGGCATAGACAGGAAAACAAGTGAGGTTTGCCATGTTTTTGAGAGGTAACATGTGTTGACATCGACAAGCATGAAGAAATGCAGAAGACTAGTAGTTTCTTTTTCCTCTTTAATTTAATGTTCTTATATTCGAATATTTAAATATTATAATATTTATTATATGTGTATGACCCTCTAGGTTTAATATCGAACTGATCGTGAGTCATACCTATTAGATTATTTTGACTCAGTGAATTATTATTTTCATAATAATTTATTCGATTCATCGACTGTAGACGTATTATATCACTGCGTCATGATCCTCAAACAATACGAGGTAATCCAATTCATTGGACATGTCTGTCTTCAATTATTATGTATCTATAGTCTTTCATTCATCTAATATTCTAAAAATCATATACTGGCATGGTGTTGTCAGGTCCATACGGTTTCTACTCGAGTCTCGCTCTAATCGAATTCTATTCGAGAACTCTCTTTTAATTCGAATGACTCTAGCCAAGGATTTGTTTGAGCAAAAACACACGTGATATTCCTCTCATGACATCGAGAGCGGATGATTCTCTATCGACACTCAATCCCTTGTAAGGTTGGCTATCACCCCCGACAATCGACTGTGTTAGATTTGAAACTTCCATGCCTATGAGTTTGGTATCAAATAGTGGAGTACTTATACATGATATATTTGGTTTCGCCGTTGTCTAATAATAAGACATTATCAACTATCCAACATATCGTGAGTAGATCAATAAATGAATTCATTCTTCAATGAGCACCTATACTATATCTCTAGTGTTGCCACATGTCAATCTGTCCAGTTATCTCAATGTCTTTCTCAGTAACATATGACCAAGATTATTTAGGGTTTATGTTTAAAGATAAATCGATCTCATTATCGTGATCTCATCACGATCCGATTCCCATTACACAGATTTATGGACATCACAATATATACATGCAATAAGTAATATAAAGTGATAAAATATTAAATAATATAACAAGAAAAAAGAGGACGTGTTATGTTACACGTGTCATCATTCATGTGAATGACTTATAAACCACTTATGACCAGCATATGTCACTAATAAATTTATTTGATTTTATTTTAAATAATTCATAACTATGAACCAAAAGTTAATTTTAGATTTTTTATTTTACTTTACTTATGACTTCGTGAGTGACATGTGTCTTATAAATCATGTGCAGTGTCATAAGTAGAAACTCGATTGAACGTATTTTTATCTAAAGCATAAAATAAAATATTCATAGTTTTAGTATTTAAATAAAATAATCTCTTTTCAAAATTATTTCATTCATCTATCCATTTACAAGATTTTTTAAAACCAAACTCAATAATATTTTATAAATTAAAATTCATAGAAAACAAAAAAATTCTAATCGATGCTTTTCTTATGTATAATTCGTTCCGAATACGAGATGACGTGTGATAAAATATCTTTTTTGATTGATTAAAAATATTATTTATTGTTAAAAATGTTAATCCAAATGAGAGGTCCTCAACTTGATATCAATTGTTAAAATCTTAATAGCAATGAAATAAATGACAAATAAAAAGAGAAATCAATTTATAACGATTAAATCTTTTCGACCTATGTCCATTCTCTATTCATCTTCCATCGACTTTCACTATCGATGACAGAGATGACTAGAAAAAGGTGATAGCCTAAGCCTAACGCGCAACATGCCCTCGTGACATGATAGTCAACCAATTGATGATAAGAGATATTTTTAATATTATAAAAAATAAAGACATTAAATGAGAAAAATAAAATCCAAGAGTACTTGAAAAGTTAAAAAAAAACCTTTTTCAGAAAAATCACCCAAAAATATTATTAGCTTTATCGACAAATGCACTTCTGGCGTCAGATATTTATTTTAGAAGCTAGGCGTTCCATAGAAAATAAATATTATACGTCAAGAGGAAAAACAATATACTCTTACAGTTCCTCATCACAAGAAGATACTGAACCCTTGTCTTCAGTGTCGAGTGGATAACATATCATCCTTAGTCCTGTCTTGTCTCCATTTCTCGAGTATTTCTGATGCTGGTGGCAAGTCTGAGAATGGTGTTCCAATGTGGGCAGTCAGCAAATCCAGTGTTTTATCAGTAACAGAAGGCTCCAAGTCGTAATGCTGCAAACTCTCATCTCTATAATGGCCTTCATCTAAGGTTTCGACGCAGCCACCATTAATTTCAGGAGACAGTTCACCAGGTTGATAGTCCTGAATCCTGCCAACACTCTCAAAATCACTGTCGTTCTCATCCAAAGTGTCGTCGTCCATTGAAGCCACATAAGACTCTGCAGAGGTAGAGGCATCCTTCAAGAGTCTAGTACCGCAAACATACTGCAGTGACTTCAAAAAATTGGGTACAGGATCTTCCATCACAACATTACAGCTCTGCAAATGGTTCAACAGATCTTCCAACCTCTCCATGCTAAACCTACCCATGTCCCTCCGGAGGAGGCTTGCCCACTGACTCTCACTTACCTTGAGTGAAGCATGAGCCATGCAATTGAGGAGACTTGCTGTCCTTGCAAAGTTTTGTTGCGCAATGGTCTGGAATATCATTGCGAAAAACAGTGATACATGAGGAATTTCTCCCGCTTCGAGTACTGTGTCGAATGCATGCTCCAGCAAATGCCACTGCAGAGAAACCAGAAAGAATGTCAAGTTTTTTAAATCCAAATTGCTCCTATCGGCAACGACAGAAAATTGTTCTCCGACTATGCTTATTCGAAACTGCTAAGGTTATTGATTGGCATGGATACCCCGAAATAAGTTCCATACGAGACAAATCAACATGAACATATGAAAGGCTTGGAAGGAATTGGAACAATCAAGAATTCAGCAGGACTTTCTGTGTGTTGAGAGATCTAAAAAAAATCATACCTTTCCAGCTCTAGATGATTCAACTAGTAGCCATGAATGTTTCCTGTGATCTAGCTGGTGACCACAGAGAGTCATCTCCTTATACACATGCTCGAAATACTCCCATTGTTGAGCAGAAGCAGATGCTTCTAGCATGGATTTGAATGAATAAGCATCCAGCTGAAGAGATGAACCATTTGCAGAGTGGGGCTTTGATCGACAATAGGTGGCTTTAGTAGCTTCAAACAGTTCTTTAGCTTTCGCAAACATGTCTCCGCAACAATAAACTTTCAGCATGGCATTTATGGTTCCAATATTAGGAGTGCAATGGTCTTTCATGTGCTTGAAAATTGAGATGCAATCAGCAATGCGTCCACCATCCAATGCAGATAGGATCATGCCAGTAAATGTCACCTCCAAAGGTTTTGTAAGATGAAGTGTTTGTAGCTTCTCAACCTGCACACAAAACATTAACATATATCTATGCCAATTATGCTTCCAAATAATCTTAGACACAACACCACCAAAAAGACAACCAGAAGAGGCTGGGTCATAGTATAAAAGCATGTGATCTAATGAATAACAACAAAACAACTGATGTATTAACCCTCTGCAAGTTCGCTGTGCTATGCTAAAAATCAATTAGCTATAAGATTCTAGCAAAACAGGTCCTTAAATAAGAAGTTACAACTGCTGCACAGATTATGCAGTCAGCCTTGTACTTTTGTAGCAAAAACGACATGGTTAATAGCCTTGATCCATTGTAAGATGTAAGTACCAAAAAAGGTTGTATAGAACTGTGGTTAATCAAGATCAAACAGTAGCAGAAGCATTAGTGGTGAAGGATGGGTTCAGAAATGACAAAGCAAATTGGATAGAGCTTATGCATGGTGCTGAATAAAGGCATTTACATTTTAGTAAGCAAGGTGCCACCTGAAACACATTAACGGTAACTCATCTTTTGGTCCCATATTGTTCATTAAAACACTTAATAAATACCTAACTTTAGCCTTTTAGGCTTTATACCCAAACCATATAGTTCAGGAATATTTGCAAAATTTGATAGACAACGAAACTATCTCATGCTTGCAAGAAAGGAGAAATATCATGGATGTCATTAACGATCTTCACCAAAATTTACTCGAACAAATCAACTCATGGCATTGTAGATTACAGACTTCTAACTTGACAACAGTATAGATAAGAGATTACAGAACTCTGAAGCAATAATTTGCTTATCCAGCACAAATTATTGGAATAATTTACTAATATTATAAGCATGATTTTTCATAGGTAAATGCACATAAAAATGCTATTGTTTTGTTATGATCTGCATTGACTAAAAAAGGTAATTAAATAATCAAAAGTAAGATTAAATTAAATAATCAAGATATTTAAATAAAAACATTTGGAATTCTTTTTTTTACATTGCATGCTACACCATCCAGTATTTCTGATTTAATCAGTAAAAAATGATTCGATTTCATGGAAATATTAGTCATGCATATAATTCTGCATTCATATATGACAAAACACAGATGTCCATACTGTATATGTGTCAAATCAATGATCACCAAGAACAAAATTTTCTGCACAAGGACATCCCCCATTGAATTGATAAGATTTGATCATGCTGCAAAAGATAATGCAACTTTATAAAAATCAGTGATTTAAAAAGTGCCCATTGGATTGATAAGATTTGATCATGCTGTAAAAGGTAATGCAACTTTATAAAAATCAGTGATTTAAAAAGCGCTAGGAGCCAAGGTCCAAAAACGCCCGAGGCGCTAGGCGCTCGCTCGAGCGAAGCGAGGCGCTAAAACATAAAAATATATAATATAATTAATAAATATAATTATTTGAATAAAAATATGCTATTAAATTAAGAAAATCAGGTACAAAATCATAATAAATAAATAAATAAATCATAATAATATATTTTTTTATTTTTTAAATAAAAAATATACTATTAAATAAATAAAAATTAAATAATATTAAAATCAAAAAAATATATTATTAATCTAATAAATAAAAATACTATTATTAGTATATAGTTAACAGTATACTGTTAATATACTATTAACAGTATAGTGAGAAGACCGAGGCTGCTGAGGCAACGACAACGGTAGTAGGCGACAGCCGTAGTTGGAGCGGAAACGACGAGCGACGACGGGAGCGGGAGCGGTGAGCAGTCGACAAGCAGCGATTGTGGCAACGGCGAGTAGCGACAGTAGCGGCGAGCAGCGACAGTGGCAGCGGCAGTAGAGAGCAGCGATAGCGGAGAAATCGCGATCGCGAGTGTTCGGGTTAGGGAAGTCAGGGAAATCGCGAGAGGGAGCCTAATATCGGTGATTTAGTTGGTTCGATTGAACCAACTAAAGCACCGGAGACCAACCAGACCTAAAAATCTGGTTCGGTCGCCTGGTTTAACCCAGGCGCTCGCCCGAAGCGCCCGACGCCTAGGCTCGGGCGAGCGCCCAGGCGACACCTCTTTGAAGTGAGGCGCTTGGACATGAAGCGAGGCGCTCGGGCCTTGCCTCGCCCGAGTGCCTAGGCGAGCGCCCGAGTGCCTATTGAAATCACTGATAAAAATGTGGTTGAAGAATTAGTAAAGAAACGTAGGAAACGCCAAGAAAGAGTCAAGAGTCCAAACAATCAAATATCTATACTTGCTAAATATTTCTCTAAATCTTCTACCATGAAAACCAGCAAGATGCATATTGATATAGGATTCCAGATGATAGAGAAAGAATGCACCTCAATTATTGCATCTTGCCATCTCCCTTTGTTGCAAAGACAACATGCTAATTCATAATAAACACAAGCTGCTCCAACTACTCCTCTCCGTTCCATTTCCCTGACTGCTATGACTGCTTCATCTACTTTACCTTCTTCCGAAAAGGCTCTAACAAGAACTGCAACCTTTGTCAAGGAATCCAACATTCACATGTAAACTGGAAAAAAAGAACAACCAATTTTCATATATTGTACCTTTGTAAGTTAAAGCTTTTGGAACTATTCCACCTCTTTGCATCTTTTCGAAGAACTTGTGTACAAGATCATATTTTCCCGCTTTCAACATGACCTTTCAACAAGCAGTTCCTGTTAAGACTATTATTACATCTATATTTTCAGAAGAAAAAGTACCAATAGAAAGATAAGTAGAAGAAAAAAGCAAAAATGGTGTAACTTAGTTAACCTCACAATCAAGTTCTTCTCTTTCCTAATCTCTCATTAAAATTTGCACGAAAAAGCCATCTTCTCAACACAATTTAAGACTCGGAAAAGCATGTAAGAAACAGCATAATCATGCTACTGAGAATGAGAACTATGTCAAACAGTTAAAATCAATTTTCTTAGTACAAAGTGATCAGAAATTAACTATTACAATGATTTTTACATAAAAAGACTCCATTTTTTAAATCCTGAAGATTGTAGGTGTTGATTAATTGTCTTTCTGCTCACCCCCAAAGTGAAGTTTAGTTTTTCAAGAAGATTTTCAGCTGTAACAATCAACCAGGCAAGAAATTTCAACAAAGTAAAATATACTTCAGCACAATGACAATGGTTTTTAATCTGGATTTCAGCTATAATAATCAAACTAGGAGTTTCAACAAAGTGAAATATACTTAAGCAAACGACAACGATTTTCGATTGGGTATTAGAAAAATTTATAGAGTTCAGAAGTTAAATCTTTCCTTGCTGCCAAAATGTGGCTGAATGTAGATAAAAACCAGTAGTCTTTGAAATTATTAAATATATCTGAGTTTCAGTATCTAGACCAAACTATGATACAAAAGTTGTGTCATGCAAAACTTACTTCCATTGCTAATCCATAAGTTGCTCCAATAGGCTTTATTCCCCTATGCCTCATCTGTTCCAGAACCCAAAACACCCCTTTCCATTGACGGGATGGCACACATGCATTCAGCACCTAGCAAGAGGTTAACATGATATTAAGCCAATGAAAAAGGCATGCAATTAGGTGCCATGTAGCTACTTTTCATATAAAAAATAAAAACATAAACCAAATAAAAACATCCATACAGCATTGTAAATGATCACATCTGGCTCCAAGCATGGATCCCAGTTTCTGCGGTTCATATTCTTGAGTGTTTTAGAGGGTTTTTGTTTCATACATTCAACTATGTTGACTAACTCATTCACAAGTCCAGCTTGACCAAGTGTAACAGCAATACTGTGGTATGCAGCCATGTCAGGATATATCTGGCCATCTTCCTGAGATCAAATCAAACCAAAGGGTCAAGAATATCAGATTAGCATCACATGCAATAATAAGTTATGCAGATGACACTAACAAGAGATAAGAGAGCCTGAAATAATCAAACAATAAATGAATACACATCACCCGCATTTTGTTAAAAATTTGAAGAGCTTCAGTTGATCTCCTTGCCTTGCCTAAAAGAGCTAGAAGCTTGGTGTACACAAACCTGTATAGCAGAACATATCACTGTTGAGTTTTTGTGTAGTTATCTTAAATTTACAACAATTATCTCACTACTCCAAACAAATCAATAGTTCCCAATTAAGAAAATGTAAAAAAAAAAACATATATACATCATACCTGCTTTTCCTATGCTTGTATTGCTTTTCGTTGTACACCCATTCCACAACAGACAGTGCCTGACTCCAGTTTCCAAGAACCCCTAGTCGTTCAACTATTTTAAGCAAATGCATCTCAGTAAAGAACATGCCCGATTGCTTCATTATCCTTGAAAACTTCCAGTCATGCAAACTTAAATCCGTAGCACTGAGCCTACATGATGACAACAAGGTGCTTTAGAAGGCTTGTAACTTGGTAGTTTACGTGCAAGCATAGACAATAAATTAACCAAACAAGCTCAAAGCAAACAGTAATTCAATTAGGGAAGGGCCATAATCATCAGCATAGTAGCAGGTTACAATATCGACAAAATCTAAAATGTTACTCGTAACAGCTGCTAAAGATTTTTGAATGACAGAGGATAATTGATGGATGTTCTGGTTATGAAGCTATATCTAAACCAAGATTTGCAATGCAAGAAATTCGGCAACTTGGAAGCTTGTCCAATAGCATAGAACAGATGCTTGCCACAGTGAGAAGGTTCACCAAGCTGTTACTTGAACAGCAACTTAATCACAAGCCAAGGTCAAAGATCCCAGGGCCTTGTTCTATATTACGCATCACTAAAATGAAATATTCACCTAATGAAATCCATCAATTCATTACTTAATCAAAAAAAGCAATCTGATAGTAAAGTCAACATTCAGCTGCACTCAAAAAATTCATAACATTAATAAGCAGAAAAAATTTGCAACGGATGCCAAACATAAATCACCAATTTCAATTGGAGCAGCATTACCAACAACCATGGCAAGGCTGAATTCACGAGTCCTGGATCAGTAGGAGCTCCAATAGAAACATTTACCAGTCAGTAGAATTGTGCAAAGCCAATACAACCGAAATAAGATGCAAAGGCTAAAACTTCAAATTAATCAAGAAAAAGAAGAGGCCAAGTGGATAAAGTTCGCACCTGTCCACAAGCAAGCGAATTTTCTCTTCAGCTCCTACCACCAGCCTCGATTTCGGCACCTTCCTCTCTTGTTTGTCTACAAAACCACCTGTATCCTCTACTTCATCGTTAACCAATAGCCATCGGAACCGCTCCTCGTTCCTCTCGGCTAGCATCCGCCTCAGCTCCTCTAGGTGTTCAGTCCTCAGCCTGCCACCTCCGGGGTCCTCCATCGCGCTCGCGAGCCCTCGCAAGTTGACAGCCTTGGAGCCCTCCCACGGCCTCCCAGAGAGCGCCACCGCCCTCTCGTCCCTCCGGCGGAGCTCCTCTCTCACGGCACCGTACTCGGCGGAGACGGTGCGGAAGAGGTCATCGTCCTCCAAGGCCCGCCTCTGGGCCTCGGAGAGGGGAGGGGGTTGTTCTTGGAGGGCTCGTTTCTTGGATCTGCGGAAGGCCTTCTGGGCCTCTTTCTTGCGTAGGGCGTGGAGGATCTTGGGAGTGGGGAAGACGCCCTTGCGGAGGAGCCGCTGCCTGATGGCCTCAGTGTTGGGCTCGAAGGGCTTGTGCTCGGAGAAAAAGGTCGACAGTGAAGCGGAAGCTGAGACCGCCATGGCCAGGCGGGGGATTGAGGAGGGCGTCGCGAAGAGGGGGAACGACTACATATTGGATTTCTTGATTATTTCCATAGAAAATTACATTTTAGCCCTTTAGACCGAATGGCACCAATAACATGGCTGGTATCTTTTTGTGTACGAGAAGGGGGGCGGAAAGAGCCTTAACATTAGCCCATTTTATGAACCGAATCCGATGAGTCGACGGATCCAACTCGCATCCATGATTTGATCGTTTCTCGAATTTATAGATAAATTATATGTTTATCGGATCGAGATAAATATTTATCCTTCAAATTTTGGGCATATTGATGCATCGGTGGGCTTCTCGTATCGATAAAGGCCTTATTGGGCCCTAAGAACACGACGCGGTAAGCAGTCGGATGACGTGCTTCTCTTCGTCAGGCTTCGATGCAATGCTTCCGCCGCCCGCTTTCCCGACGTAAGAACAACTCGTTACTCCTTCGTCACCCCCTCGGGCCGAAACCCTAAGAGGAGGAGGAGGAGGAGCAAAGAGCAGCATCAATGGAGGTTGCGTTTCTTGATCATTTCATTCCTTGCCATCTCTCACCCCTCTCTGTGTCCCATCTCTGTTTCAGGAAGAACAAAGAGGGTCACGAGGAGGCAAAGAAGGAGAAGACGCAACAGTCCCTTCATGGCTCTCCTCTACGCTCGTTCTCGCGTATCCATTTCGCGCAAATAGTATGGTTTCTACACTAAAGTAAAGGGTTATATATACGAAACAAAGTCATCAAGGTGGACCTTTTACCGTATTACCGGAGGCCGTGAGCAGTACACATCAAACAGACTGCTACGCTATAATAGAAAGCAAGTTCTGTTCACGAAATCTCAAGGTAAAGCAAAAGGTTCTTTCAAGAAGATTCAATCTTTCGCACAGAATCCGGAAATTAATCGCAATGCTTGGTTGCACAGGATATTTAATTCAAAGAAATCAAGAATCTGCAACGAATTATGAGTACGATGGAAGAAGAAAAAAAAGGTAATGTCCAACTAATATACTTGATAGGATCCATTTAATTGTTGTGGGTGGTTGACCTACTTCCCCATCAGCTTCGTTGTCCACCCTCCACTGCCATCATCGAGCGGGTCTTCAACAAAGTTCAACAGAGAGTGAGTGAGGAAAGGAAGAGAAAGAGAAACATGTTTACACGCGGAGATGGAAATGGGAAAGAGCTTTCACCAGATTCCCACCACCAGAAGGCAGTAGACAAGGGAGACGACGAGGGAGCCAACGACCGAAGTCGCGGCGTGGAAGACCGTCGACAGTCTCCTCTCTTGCAGCGCCCAGATGGTGACCAAGAAATCCACCGCGACCAGCAGCAGCCCCATTGTAGTCGCTGCACACGATGCCGAGATAAGAATAGGAGTGGAGAGAGGGGAGAGGATGTGGAGTCACTCCGCATTCCAAGGCTAAAAAGGACAGTGGACATACGGGAGCGGAGTCGCACTCAAGCATCACAAGTTATAAAAGTCAAATTCGGTGGGGTCCACGGGTGAGATTATGCTGACCTCAAATGTTGAATATTAAGACAATAATACCTGATAATGGGGCCGTGGAACAAACTTTTCGAAGGTGGAGAGCTTTCGGAAAGGGTGTTTGTCTTCGCTAGCAAATAAGGTTGGCTCAAGATGTATTAGAGCAATTTGGAGCAATGTGCGTTGATATCGACAGCATGTTCATTTATATTCCGCTTGTGATTCATCTTTCACTTCAGATTAAACCATAACATGTAGATGTGAACACTTGTGGTGAGAATTCTATCTAAACCATGACCACTATTGTCTTCTTCCTCTTGCCAGTCTCTTGTGATGATTGACTACTAATAATAATACGTATGATGTTATGATCCACTAAGGGACCCTTCCAAGCAGTCGAAGTCGATGGCCATTGATGAGCTGCGTGATAAACTTTGTTTGAGGAAGGTCTGGAATTAGCTGCTGTAACTAACATTAATGGTGTCGAACACAAAAGAAAAAAAACTACATCCTACACATTTAAGTGATCACACCTCACCAGTACCCGATACAACCCTAAGCTCGATAGCACATTTTACTCTATCATACAACTTCTAATTTATACACAGCAAATGAATTGGAATATCTACCAACAAAAAACATCAGAACATTATGGAATAAGATGAGCAAGTTATCGAAGAACAATGGTCTTCATAAAACTGCATTGATCAATACTATATTTCAGTAGCCAATTGCAACAGAAACAAAAATGAGTTGTATCAATAACTCAACGAATAGTTGGCAAAGAAATAGCATGAATTTCGAAATGCATGTTCCGCAACAAGGAGATTAATGCAAAAATTTGGTCACATCCCAGACCGGGAGAACAAGTGGCAAGACAAATGTCAACAAAAATGTCCCAGATTGAATGGGTTTAAGCACCCAACAAAATCAAAACCAGTCAATGGAAAACTTGAAAGTGTGTTTGTAGGATACATTTATTAGCTCTAACTTCTTCATCCAACCGGAAAATTGCACGGTACTCTACTAACAAGAGCAGTCAAGGCCTAAGAGCAAGAGCCAGTCCAAACTTGGGAGCCCTTTCCAAGGCCTTAGTGTCGAACTCACCAGAGAGTGTTAGAACCGACTTTGGCTTCAGTTCATGCTGGAGGAGAGCAGCAAGCTTCCCTGAGTTGTTGAGCCTTGTCTTTACGGTTGTTTGGGGATCCACCGCATATCGTGTTCCGACTGTAAAAATGTTCTCATTGGTAGAGAATCGTCTCACAATCTCCGCAACCACAGAGCTCTTCTGCAACTCATCCAGATGATAAACATAGGAAGCTCTGAGAGTGTCTAACTTCTCCTCCCTGATAAAAAAGTATTTATCAATAGAAACTTTATGTCAATAGATGAGGTTAAGGTGGCCATTTTCTGAGCACTTACAGAATTATGGAAGCACTGTAATCTGGCTTTGTCAGTCCAACCCCTGCACTATACTTGGTGAAGTCTCCGGAGGCAGTATTAAAACTGGCCTCAGCACCAAATGCAACACCTCGTGTACCAACAGTCCCGGAAAGCTCCACAATCGGAGAGTGCTTCAGAGCCACCACTGAAGCAAAACTTGCATGGTCATGGAAATATTGAACCTCCAACTGCAAAGATCAAATGTACATTTTAATCTCCTGTATCAATTGTTTCATCAGTTCACTTAAAGCAATAAAACATACTACCTTTCCAGAGTTATAATCAGGTAGCTTGAAAGAAGTGATGGTCTTTGTATATGGAAGTATGTCTGAGATGGTTACTGTTGTTGATATCTGTTAGAAAATCAAAAAGGATCTCTTAACCAACTGACCATTCTGTCACGCAAATAACAAGATAAAGGGACAGCAAACACACATTTGAATTAGTGTCGACTTTGACATCAATAAGGGTGTTCTTGTACTTGTACTGTGAACCGATATCAAAGGAATACAGTCCACCTTTCTTGACTGCAGCAGAAGTAAGGCCCTGAATACCAACCAGAACCAAGTAAGAAACTTCTTGCCAAATTCTGCTAAAGAGACAAGATAGAAACCACAATAAGATAGCAACAACAGTTAGAAGTCAACTATAAGGATTCATTCATGAGGCGAGTATGGCCAGCTTAGAGCATATAAATCATAACACATTGCACTGCAATCTTGTAACAACTTCAAACAGCATGAAAACTGTTATGCACAATGATAGAAAAATAAGCCAAAAACCAAATCCCTATTTTCTTTAGCATCAAGTATGAGAAGTTATCAGTGTATTGTCAAAGTGATACCAAATTCTAGAAAAATGTCAGTACCAGCGGATGATTACAAAGTGATACCAAATTCTAGAGAACTATCAACACCAAGAGATTATTACAAACTGACACCAAATTCTAGAAAATTATCACCACCAGAAGATGATAACAAAGCGATCCCAAATTTTAGAAAATTATCAACACCAGAAGATGATCACAAAGCGATATCAATCAACAAAATTGGAATAAAGCAATGCCAGATTAGAATAACAATTAAAATAAATGAATATAATTGCAAGAGATGCAAATAAAATCACCTAGGTAGAAGAGCATTTATTGAATCTCGAATCTCTGAAGCAGACTTGTGTAGGTTAGAGAAACAATTCATTAATTCCTTTTAACCAGAAAAAAAGATTTCAAAGATCTAGAAATAACTATTCTTCCACCCAGTCAGGGTTTACCATGAAGTTCAATACTCCAATATCTTATGAAACAATCTAAATAAATCTATCAGATAAATTGCTAGGTGCAAGAGTCCTATCAGATTGGCAGACAAGTTCCACTGGGTCAAAGGAGCAAAACATAGAAAATCCCTTCAACTTGAAAAAACTAAGAAGCAGAGAGGATTTAAACAATACTACAAACAATTAGTGATAAGAGTTGAAATAAAAATATAATTTACAATGGACTATGGCCCAGGTATCTAACAGCACAATATGCAGATTTGCCAGAGAAAAAAAGGTTGGACAATCATCACATTTGCTTTTGCACAATTCCCATATGCATCTATAATGATGGTATATTAATTTTTTTGAAAAATAAAAACTGTCAGAAATAAGGCAACAAATCTGGAATTCTTGTTCTGGCTGAAGAATCTTGGTTTATAACATCAGCTGACTGAAAATGTAATAAACACATTCACATAATTCTCGCACATTTTGTCAAGTTATTATCTGCTTACCAGATGGTAGGTTCTGGTACTTATCTGCTTATCACTTACTAAGTCTGGCACGGTACAGCAAATACCATACCGAATGGTCAAATTACCACCAGATAAGCCAGGTATGGTACAGCCTATATAGAGAAATCGTCCAACTTTGTTTGAAACTTGACCAGAGCAACAATGGTTTGCAATCCATACGGCATGATGGGATTTACTGTACACCCAAACGAATCTTGAGTCCGATTGAAATGTGCATTAGGTATAGTTGCAGCAACATGTGGATCATAATACCTCTACACCACATAACATCTATGGAAGATCTCAATGATCGTTGTGATATTTGTGACCCATGAATATGTCGGGGATTAAAGTGGGTTAGATTGCAATCCTCCGATCCGATTAATCCCACACCAATCCCCCATTAGATGAGCCCGATGACTTTGATCGATATATGATTCGCTATCGACCCTAAAATGTTGGTTCGAAGCATAGCCCCTTCGCATTTTCAAATCCATACGATCTAAATCGAAACCACTTTATAAGTTCCATAAACCATCTCGTCATCAGTCAGATTATAAACATGTTCCTCAGATTTCAACAGCAATAGCTCGAACCAACGAAGCAAAAAGACCAACTCTACTAATTAGTTCAATCCCGGGAAGGAAAGGCAAGCCGCGACAAATCTATGAATGTCAAAGCACGAGATCCGAGGGTTTACCACTCCGGAAGCACTGGAGGTGGAGATGGTCAGCTTCTGGTCGTAGGTGTAGTCCTTGTTCAGCAGATCTGCATCGGCAACAACGGAACCATAGCAAGGATAAATAGCAGAGAACAACGGACATGGGAATGAACCGATAAAAGGGTTTGAATAAGTTTTAGGAAAGAGGGAAAGGATCGAGGAAGTGATTGGGACAGACCTTTGGCATTCTTGCCGATCTCGGAGAAGAGTCCCGGACCCTTCATGGCGGCGGCCGAGAAATGGAGAGAAGAATAGAGATGGAGAATAGGGTTGCGTAGTGCGGACGACTTTTTGATTTTTTGCCACTTCTATTTTCTAATAGCTGTAATTAGTAAGAAGAAGAGAACGAAATTTGGAAGCCAACCAATGGGTTTTGAAACGAGTCGCTTAAGTGAATGACGCCGAAAAATGGCTATGGACGGTGATAAGGGTGGGGTCCGCCGGTGCGGTGGTCCATCGGGAGTGGTGAAGGGAAGGGTTGGGATCTTCTCCGGTTGGCACGGAACCCATCTCAGACCGTCCATCGTTTCATTTAACGACTCAGTCATCAACCTCATCTCAACCCTTCAATCATAAACAAACGGCTGTGATTTGATGGTGGTGAATTTCGATTAATCATTCCGGATTTTTTTTTTCTCGTTAGGATTTGTAAGTAATCTCAAAGAAGTCTGTCACACACATTCACAAATAAAAATAAAAATAAAAATAATTTCACAGCTGGAATATTTGTTAAGTCCTTGTAATATATAACGAACTTGAGAGCAAAACTGTACATTTATCTTCTGGCCAACGGAACCACAAGAGGGGGAAGAATAAGTGCGTCTCTTCATTATGGAGGCACGGGATTGCCTTCAGGCTTCGCGGCAGCCCACGAGGGACTCCGACGGGAACAGGTAGTCAGCACCGGAGGTCGGGCGATCGGATCGGGAGCGGCTGCGGTGGGACGACTCCTCTTGCTGCAGCTTCCAGCATTCCGTGAGCGCCGGTGCTGCTGCCCCCTCCGATATGCACTGGTACGCCCTCCTCTCCATGCTTTTCTTTATCGCCTGGATCATCAT